AGGCACCGAGCCATGCGGGTGATCGTAACCATCGTGGTTGCGTTTCTGCTCCTCTGGACACCATACCAGATAACCATGGTGATAGACATACTGCTGAGGGCTGATTTGGTACAGCATGACTATGATACGAGGAGGCCGTTAAACACAGCCTTGGTCGCAACCCACTGCCTGGCTCTGCTGCACAGCTGCATCAACCCATTCCTCTATGTTGCTGCAGAAGAAAAACTCAGGAAGAAGATGAAGCTGCTTTTTTAGAGAAAGACAGACGGGAAAGTATGTGACGCTCAAAATTCAGGAGGTCAACATGTCAGTAGATTGATCTGAAGGTCATAGTGATAATAATGCTATTTAAACTATGTTTCTTACTGCCGTTGTTTGTACTGATAACAAATAGCAAATATTGGGAATGATTAAATAAAGTCTCTAAATATTTCACACTTGACTCTGACCTCACTTTACATTTCACATCAGTCTTTCTTTCAAGTTGACCCCAAAATCTGTTATTTTTACACATACTTTAAATTTTAAAGTATGTGTAAAAAGAAGAAAGACAACGAAATGGACATACACAAAATACAACGCTATCCCCTTAAAAGTAAATGTTGCCCAGGGACTGAGCTGCCTTGGCTTAAGTTTGGGCTCCCTGAGTGCTTCTTGCTTATTACTGTCATCATCACTAGTTGTAGTTGTACAAACTATCCAGCAGATGGCAATGAAGACCAAGAAGTTGTATAGACAAATACGTGACATTAAAAAAATTGAGAAAAACAAGATTTAAGTGTTTATCATGCAGAATTTTCAGAAACAAATAAGTCATTCGCACGCGCAGTCAACTTCCAGATAAACTTTGTTACTAGCCATTGGCTATGTTGAACCCGGCAGAGTCCCAAATGATCATTATTTGAACTTAAAGACTTGACACCTGCCCTAAATGTGTTTTCAGGCAGAGGATGAACAGAGGTACTGCATAAAGGGTCACTGTGTGATAAATCATCACACCAAGTCAATTTACTTAAATGCAGAGCTGATAATGAGCACAGCAAAGTGTACTTAAATAATTTTGTGAGTTTAATTCTTCATTGACTTTAGTTTTGTTTGTTTGTCCGATTCAATGCACACTGTTAGAAAATACTTGTAACAGGCTCTGCAGGCATTTGTTGTCAATTTTAAAGCGACGTTGATAAAATGTTGTATTAATAATTTTGATGTGTGTTTTTTCTGTTTTGTTTTTGGTATATTAATTAAAGGTTCATTTAATTAACATGTTATAGAGCAAGTTATTACATGTTAAATCTAAAACCGTACCCAGATGTAGAAAATGGTGTCAGTAGAGAAAGTAGTTCTAGGAAGTAAGTGCATCGCTTTTGTTTATATGCCATGTATGGGCTTAGAGTAGAGAAGTGAAGCAGACATGAAATGTGGGCGTTAAATCATCGTTGTGTCTTTGATTTTCTTTGTTCTTTTCTTTTGAGTAATCCAGATCAGTCTTTAGATCTGTTATATTTTGCCATTTTGATTTTGCAACTGTTTATTTGTGTATAACCTCTGTCTTTGTGTGTAATAAAATGAAGTAGGTCTATTGAAAGAACTGGTATCGTTTCTGTTTCTGTGAATTCTGATATTTCTGCATTGACTGGTCTGTACATGAGCTCCAAGTCAACAGTACATCCATGCTGTTGTGACCAAATGGCCCCAAGTCACGTCTGTATTGTGGTTTTATGGTCTTTATGGTAATCTTAAAGGTAGTCTGAAAAAATGCATTTAAGAAAGCTTTTAAATTATTTAGACACCTTTGCTCTGAGTCATTTTACGAGTACAGCACGAATGCAAACAATATATTCAATAAAAGTATGGGTTTAATGTACATGTACAAGCCACATGTTCAAGATCCACAAAGTTTATTTTCCAGAGCAATGTCATGGAATCCTTTTTATTCAGGAAAGTGATCGTGATTTTTTATTTTACTTTCCCCCCCAGCAAATCACCGGGCTTCGGTGTGCCTATTTGCTGCTGCTGGGTCTTATGTAGTTACAATGAATTAAATGAATAATAAATTAAATTTTATGTTCTTTATAGAATTTAATGTAATGTCTCTGGCTGAGTAGCCAGCACTCGTAGAGATCATTAAACACCGTTTTTAATTAGCCTGAAGGAGAACTCAAGGCTTAACACTGATAATAACTGATAGCTGCCCTGATATCGGTTATCGCTATATGAGGTTTTAGGTTTTGTCGAGCCAACTACCTCAAAGGAAGCTGGGCTGTGTTGAACTTCCTTCACAGTAGAAATATAACATAGAAAATAATGCATCTTCCAAATTTTGGGGGACGTCCATAAAAATTCACATCTAATGTAAACACAGAAATAGTAAAACATGAGCAACGATTAAGGATCAAAGTTGAAAGGAATTAAACATCATGTTATGTTGATTATGTTGAGATTGGCTGTTATGGATGTAATGCAATGAGGTGTTATTACTGACAGCTTGTTGATGCTGATTCATCTGTCAAAGTATTATTGTATAGTTTGTGTTGTTTATGTTGTTATTAATGTCCATATAGAACATGTATAATGTCTATATGTAAATCGTATTAGTAATTCATATTTTATACTATACAAGGCAAACACATATCCAGTCATTAGTTTTGTTTTTAAACCCCAATACATAAGTGGATCAAGTATAGTGCTGCTGCTGTTAGTTGAAGAAAAACATTTCATTACTTCTGGAAAACTGATTTGTTTCCAAACCGTTCTGTTGCTGACTGACCAGGAAAGTGGTGCTGAGAAGTGGCAAAAAGCAGGACTGATATATTGTTGTTTGACCCATGGAGAGTATAAAACACAGACATAGTCACAGTAATATCTCCCACTGGATTGGGAATCCACATTTTAAACTCTGAATTGTGGCGTTTTGGTCATCACACTGTCATGTGGTATTTTTGAAGCCATAAGTTGCCTCATATCGATGAAAGGCTCGAGATGAAAGCAGAAAGCTCTATTCATAAACTGTATCAGTGAAACATACAGAGACACATATATATTGTTTTAAGTAATCATCTCAATACTAGAATTTCAGTCCTGAGATGGTCTGTAAAACACAGATATTAGTAATATTAGCTTGATGAATTCAGGGTTTGTTTGGTATCCTGGATGTTCAGGTTTTTTAGTGATGATTTACAGAAGAAAAGTTGCATTTCCAGTAAACTATCAAGGGTCACGTGGGATGGGTGGGTGATCAAAAGTTACATAATATGAAAGGTCTAATTTTTATCAACAGTTTGATGCCACCCTCATCTTGTAGTGATGATTTTTTCTGGGTAAAAAGAAACAAAAAATGTGTTAAAACAATCTAATCAGTGGCTGAAATTACTGATGAGACAGAGTGTTCCAGATAGCTATTTCACCTTTTTCTAAGAAAAACACTGCAATTCTTAAAGCATCGCTGTAAATACAACTATTTATTGCCCACCAGTACAATAACACACACAGAAAGCTCTCGTGTTCATCAGCTTTTCACAGTCATTTCTGTAAATATTTGAATATTTGTGAATATTTGACAATGTTTGTAGTCTGGCCTCTCTACGCCACTGCAATGGATTTTAAAAAACAATCAAGTTTGTGATTCCAAGTGCATCTTTTATGTAAGGGTTTAACTTAACTATTGCATTAACTCAGTGGTTTAATATATATTTGTTTTATTTGTATCATATTTGCTTTTATTTATTTTTTAGCGGGGCAGATTATTTAACTTTATATTTTACAGCTCAGTGTATATCAACCCACTAGTCACTTCATTAGGCATGGCTATTCAGCTGCCACACAGCCACACAGTTTTTCAGCCCTGTGTGGTTGTTGGTCCGGATGTCATGTCACGCGTTTTATCCTTGTATTTTAGCTCATTTTAATCTTTCAATCTTGCAAACATGGATGTTTTTGGAAAGATGTTATGAATATTTTAGGGTTTCAAATGGAAATAAATTTTTGTACCAAACTCTCTGTTCTTAGATTATTTTGAAGACTAAGACTATGGTGACACCAAAACAGACCAAACTGTTTGAAGAGTACGGCCATCACCACCATCAGAATCACCGTCACTGAAGATATAAATACTGAAGCTCAATAAAAATACTAAAATGCCTTTAGTTGATTCAGTTGCCTTAGCTCATTGTAGAGCAATCTCCAACTTTCCTCTTATTTTGGAAGAGTAGTTGTGGTAGATGAGGTCAGGATCTGGAGTGCATACTGACCACTGCTGAAGGTTACGAATGATCTAATCGCCTCTGATAATGGACTCATCTCTGTGGTTGTCCTATAAGAACTCCGAAGCTTTTATTTGGTATTTCCGTTGATCCGTACAATAAATTTGCATATTAGCCTAAACATTTAGGTTTAACATTTAACATTTAGATTTAACATTTAACATTTAGATTATCTTTTAACATTTAGGTTTAACATTTAACATTTAGCATTTAGATTTAACATTTAGATTTAGATTTAAATATAATATTTAGATTTAACATTTAGCATTTAGATTTAACATTTAGATTTAGATTTAAATATAATATTTAGATTAATATTTAACATTTAGATTTAATATTTAGATTAATATTTAACATTTGATGAAAAGTTACAAATATTTTACTAAATGTTGTAAAAAATTACTCGAAAAAATATGTTTTTGTAAGGTTTTGAGCTAAATGTGGAAAATGTTGCCGTTAATTTCAGCATGTTTCACTTTACAAACGGCGCCCCATAAGCAGGACACATTTAACTTAGCTGGGTTAGTTTGCTTTGTTTCTCCAAATCTTAATGTGATTAGTTGTAAATTCTTTACTTTACAATTTAAAGCGCCTTGTGGTGACTGCTGTCATAAATTGTCACTATATAAATAAACGTGAATAGAATTAACAAAGTCAGAAAGTGCTTTAGCCTGAAACACCAGCCACAACGACCCTAAGGTCCAGCTGTCAACTATGATTTAAGGGCTAATGTGTTGACGAGTTTAGTCTGACCCATAATTTATGTTGGAAGCAGTGGAACAGCAGCAGAGCTGAAGGCAGAACTGATCGATTCTGGAACGATGACTTCATTCCCCTTTGTACTGAGGCTGCCTCTTCTCCTTGAAAGCAGACAAGCCTTCCAAACGGTCTTTGGTTGGTATCACCTGGGAATAACAAGCCTCTTCTATTGCCAGACCTGTAGATAATCCACCTCTATCCCCTGGTTAATTGCCAACTTTGCCATCCTTATTGCAATTGGGCCCTGGGGGTTAATCTCCCGTGCAAGCTCCAGAGCCCTCAAGTAGGCAGCATCTCCACTGTTATTCTGCTCCACAGAATGACTGACAAGACCCATTTGTTGCGCCTGTGTTCCATCAACCACTCGTGCAGCAAAGATGAGCTCCTTGGCAAGAGAGACGCCAATCACCCTAGGGAGACGTTGTGTACCACCTGCTCCAGGAATAATTGCAAGTTTAGTCTCAACTAGTCCCATTTTGGCAGTATTGGAGGAAATTCTGATGTCACAAGCAAGGGCCATTTCCAAGCCTCCTCCTAAGGCAGCACCATCAATTGCAGCAATTGTTGGTACTGGCAGGTTTCCTAGCTCTGTAATAAGGGCTCGTGCTTTGGATACAAATGGTCCCACTTCGCTCTGGTGCATCTTGGCCCTCTCCTTCAGATCTGCACCTGCACAAAATATACCAGGAACCAAACTACATAAAATTACACTGCGCACTTTTTTATTCTTCTTGATGTCCTCCACAGCTTCAAACATCATTTTCACAAGATTTTTGTTTATGGCATTTTAGCTTTTGGTCGATTTATTCCAACGACGACAATACCGCTGTCTTCTCCGTCCAGGTATCTAACGTGCAGGTCATCCTTTGAGTCGGAGCTGTAGTATCGCGTAACAGCACCGTGACCATTCAGGCGAGGACAAAGCACAGACTCCGCCCCTTCCTCCACCTGACACACTGAAAGGACAACAAACACAACATGAGCTGTACAAAGTGTGATTGGTGTTCACAGAGCAGCATCATGTGACTCTGTTCTGCACTAAATGAAGCGATGGAGTGGCGCCTCCTTCAGGCAGAGAAACAGCTCATGGAGAGAAATAATTATTAGAGCAAAAACAAGAGTGGAGCTGCAAATTAAGGCCGAGAGGAACGCTGCAGAAAACTGTTCATGTGTGAATTCATAATTTCATAGATTCTTTGAGCACTAAAATCAGAGCTGCTTCTATTTCTAATATGACAGCTGTACATTAGAGCTAGAACACTTTTCCTCCCAAACCCAAATGTTTTGGCTGGAAATCAAATAAAAACCAAAACAGCCACAAACATCAGACATGCATCATGACATTTGACCTGTATCTACAGCACTGACCTCTGACTTTCAGCTCCACTTGTTTCTTCATCAGGATGTTTCCCTCCCTGCTGTAGACGGTGCAGGTGTAGGTGGAGTTGTCTCCGTCTGTGGGGTATTCAGGTCAGACTGATGTCTCCAGGTTCCAGTAAGTTTCTCTTCATCTTCGTTAGACCGTTGTATTTATCGTCCTGTTCTTCAGGTCGGTCAGAGCCGTTCTCATACACGTGGACCTTCCTGTTGTTTGCATCCTTCCACTCCACTTTAGCATCTTTAGGCAGACAAACTGTGGTTTCGCAGATCAGCTGGACAGACTCCACCCCTGAATCCACCTCCACCAGGGGACTGAGAGGACAACAAAGCACAACATGAGCTGTAGTAACATTTTTAATAATCATCTGATGGCCTCCTTACAGTAAACCTACCTCTGTACTGCGCCTCAGTGCTGCATTGATACACCAGAAAGCATTGACAGTAAAGTAATTATGCTGCTGCTGTGGTTTCTGTCATATCCATCTCATAGATTCATGAGGATTCTTCCTCAGTTACAAACGTTAGTCATGGAGTTCCAAAAGGTTCTGTACTGGGACCAGTTCTATTCAAATTATAAATCTTTCTCTTATAATATAAGAAACAATGTAAACATTTTCACTGATATGCAGATGAAACCCATCCATCCATCTTCATCCGCTTTATCCGAGGCCGGGTCACGCGGCAGCAGCCTAAGCAAAGAGGCCCAGACCCCCTCTCCCAGCCACCTCCTCCAGCTTATCCGGGGAACACCAAGGCGTTCCCAGGCCAGCCGAGAGATATAATCTCTCCAGCGTGTCCTGGGTCTGCCCCGGGGCCTCCTCCCGTTGGGACATGCCCGGAACACCTCACCCAGGAGGCGCCCAGGAGACATCCTTGTCAGATGCCCGAACCACCTCAGCTGGCTCCTTTCGATGTGGAGGAGCAGCGGCTCTACTCTGAGCCCCTCCCGGATGGCCGAACTTCTCACCCTATCTCTAAGGGAGAGGCCAGCCACCTTCGGAGGAAGCTCATTTCCGCGCTTTATCCGCGATCTCGTTCTTTCGGTCACTACCACAGCTTGTGGCCATAGGTGAGGGTAGGGACGTAGATCGACCGGTAAATTGAGAGCTTCGCTTCACTCAGGTCCCTCTTCACCACGACGGACCGGTGCAGCGTCCGCATTACTGCAGCTGCAGCCCAATCCGTCTGTCGATCTCCGGCTCCCTTCTCCCATCACTCGCGAACAAGACCCGAGATACTTGAAATCCTCCACTTGGGGCAGGAACTCATCCCCGACCGCAGTAGGCACTCCACCTTTTCCGGCTGAGAACCATGGCCTCAGATTTGGAGGTGCTGATCCTCATTCCCGCTTCTTCACACTCGGCTGCGAACCGTTCCAGTGCGAGCTGGAGGCCCTCACCTGATGAAGCCAACAGAACCACATCATCTGCAAAAATCAGAGATGAGATTCTGAGGCCACCAAAGCGAAAGCCCTCCGCCACTTGGCTGCGCCTAGAAATCCTGTCCATAAAAATTATGAACAGAACCGGAGACAAAGGGCAGCCCTGGCGGAGCCCATCACGCACCGGGAACGAATCCGACTTATTGCCGGCAATGCGAACCGAACCAAGCTCTTACAACGGTTGTATAGGGATCGAATGGCCCGTAACAATGGGCCAGACACCCCATACTCCCGCAGCCTTCAGGAACTCGGGGCAGACCTCATCAACAGCTGGGTAGCAGATGAAACCCAGCTTTATTAATCTATGAGAAAAGATAAGAGTTAAACTACCAGCATGTCTTAAAGTCAACAACCTTGATGACCTCCAGTTTTTTTTAAATTCATACATAATTGATACATAATAATTCTTCTACTCGACCATTAAAACTGAGAAACAGGGGATCAATGACTGATACAAAAGGAGGAACATTTACTGTCAGCACATGTTTCCATGGCTGTATCCCAATTCAGGGTCTGCAGCCTTAAAGGCCACATTTTAAGGCCGATTACGTCACATTGACGTGACGAAGGCTGTCCCAATTCAAAGGCTGCTCGAAATGCGGCCCTCAAATTTATCCTTCATTTCCCTGAACTTCAAGGATGTGGCGGTGTAGACTTCGTGGCCCAACATATCCCAGAATGCATAGCGCGGCGATGGGTGTGGATAATTTTGCCGGGAAAAAAAAAAACGGCGGATGAGGGGCACCCGAAGAGTAAACTTTAAGTACTGAATATTATGTCACTTATTTATGTGCAAATGTTTAATAACGAAGAACATTAAAACATTACTGTTGGCCACATGTCGGCAAAGTTATGTGACATTAGTGACGTTTGTACTAACTTGGTTTTAAAGCCTTTGCTTTAAAATATATGCCGTTCAATAGCTGAGCTTAATCTTACAGAGAATGATCAAAGCTCATGTAGAAAGAAACAAACAAATAAACAAAAGATTTTCTCCTTCATTTCTGTCAAACAAAGCAGTATGAAACGTTTCCAGCTGTTAGTATCATGGTTGCTAGGCAACCTGGGCAGCACAACGGAGGCTAGACCGTCCCATTTTACAAGCCTCGCACTTCTGGCCTTAGCGGTCTTTGAGTACGCGGCCCTTGAGGATCGTTGAGGCTGCATACTTTAAGGCTGCAGACCCTGAATTGGGATACAGCCCATGTCAGCCTGCTGTTTACCACCACAGAAGAAGAACAGCTTGTACACATACAGCCTCTGTGTCAGATCAATGCAGTGAAGCACACACACTGTTTAGTAAAGTCGTGTTGTGGAGCTGTTTCACTGATCAATGACTGAGTCTGAAGGAGGTTTTCTGACTTCTGGAACAAACCTGGAAGTTTCTCTTCAGCTCTCTGTATCAGCTGTTTGTAATTCTCAACTCTTTCAGCTTCTGGAACAAGTTTGTGTGAGCCACAGTCAAGGAGCCACCAGAGGACACCTGCTAACCATCGGCATTATGGGTAGTGTAGGAGGAGACACTCACCTGACATGAAATAGTGACAGAAATGAAATAAAAGACCTCCAGAAACCACAAGAAGAATCAGGAGAACCAGGAGAGCTTTGGCCCAAGATGGGAACCGTTCTGTGGAGAAACACAAAGAACAACATGACCTTTGACCTCTGACTGAATGTAATGATATATTTTACTGAATATACCTCAAGCCAAGATACTTGTAGTCAACATGTGTTTTCAGCAGTAAAATAATAAAGTTTTATCTGAATGATAAAACCGAGTGATCCGAGTGTTTGTTGCTGACCTTTGACCTGCACCTGTACATCGCCCAGTTTCATGTAGCCATATCTAAGGTCTGTGACGGAGCAGGTGTAGGTGGCGCTGTCAGACAGTTGGAGGTTGGTCAGGTTCAGGCTGAGCTCTCCAGTTTCCAGAGCGTCAGTCTTCATGGATGTTCGGCCGCTGTAACGCTGGTTTTGATCTTTCAGTTCGTCTCCTTGAAGCTGACGCTGGTGGACGGTTGGAGGACTGAGGTCGGAGCGACTCCACACCACTGTGGGGTCAGTCAGAGCGAAAGTGTTATACTGACAGGGCAGGATGAACGAGTCCCCCTCATACAGCTCCACAGCTGAGGCATGCTGGGAAACTGAGGACACACAGACAGAGACTCCATGAGTCACTTTGAGGTAAAGATACACCAGGTAGATATTTGTGTTTTTCTTTCCTTTACTTTCTGTACAGTCTCTCACTTCTTATTTTTTATTTTTAGATTCTTTACTTTTTTGTGAATCTGCATGCTCCATGCATGTGTAACAGGTGTATTAAAAAGACCATTTGTATTTCACCAAAGATCCATCCTGTGGTGTTATTTTCATTTGTCAGTCTTGTTTATGGACATGCATATGTATATATATTTATTTTCTGTATTTATATTTTGGGAGCTTTTATTTTCTTTGTGTGACCTTTGACGTCCCACAGAGTCACTTCCTGTTCCGGTTACAGAGCGATTAAACACAGTTAAAGTAATTGAAGTCATTCAAATATTGTTTGTTCCTAGGGATGGGTACCGGTGTCCGGTGCCATGATGGCACCGGTTCTGACATAAACGGTAGTAACCAGACCGAAAAGCAGCGCACATTTCGGTGCTTTATTTCGGTGCTTTTTTTTCCTGAGCTGTGATACACTTCTAGCCAATCATTTTACGTTTCCGAGGATAGTAGGCGGGCCCAGGTACGTACGTTCTTTTAGAGCAGAGCTACAGATTAAAAATGCCCAAGGCGAAGCGGTCAAAAGTCTGGCTGTACTTCACAGCAAAATATGCAAACTCAGCAGCCTGCAACAAGTGCTTTAAGCTGATACTGTGATACTGTCAAAGGAGGTAACACCTCAAATCCGATGAAGCACCTGGCGACGCATAGCGTTTTTTTTAAAAGCCGAGAAATGCGCCGTATTTGATAGCTTGCTGCGAGACCTCACACCGAGCACATCTACTGCGGGTGTGGTGCCTGTTATCGGACCCGGAGTTAGCAACATCCCCCAAAAACCCGAAGAGGAGAGTCCTGGCCCCTAGCCCTGCCAGTGTAGCAGAAATGATGAGGATGATAATGCAGCAGCAGCCGTTCTTCTCTGCGTGAGTAGCTTAATGTTGTTCGCGTGTAATTTACGCTGAGTAGGCTAACCACGTTATTACATTAATGCAGTAAGGTGAACTAGCAAACATCATCATAGCTACATGCGGCTGTCTTCTTGTTTGATGGCAGATACTCCCTTCACCCTGGCCAAAAAGGCTAAAATGACCAAAGAAAAAGTGGAAAACAGTTAAACATGAGAGGTTTTTGGACAAAGTTAGTGTTTTTTCCATTGTTTAAGCACTGCTTCCAGCCAAGAGTGATACCATATATGCCCCATAGCTGCAGAAAAGGCTAACATTGTTATCTTTTTACAAAAAAACTGCTGAACATGAGAGGTTTTTGGACCAATTTTGTGTTCTCCATTCTTTAAGCACCGGTTTGAGCACCGCCACTGTTTCAAAAGTACCGATTCGGATAAAACCTAAACGATACCCATCCCTATTTGTTCCACTTGTGCATTTTGTCTCACACTGTTACTATATGGTCACGATGCAGTGCATTTTAATTTGTTATATATGTTTATATGTATATTTCATTATTTTAGCAGCTTGATTTATAATGAGGTTTGTTGTGATGTCACACCTCAGTCGGCTAGAGGCCCTGCTGGGGAGAGGTGTGCATGCAGACGTCCAGTCATATGAAGTTGCTGCACTGAATTTGTTTTTATTTGAACAGTTTTGAGAGGATAAACCTGCCTCAGCTGGCAAAGCGAGAGTCAACTCGTCTCATCATTCGCATAACAAAACACAGAGAACACAGCAATCACAGTGTCAGGCCAGACCACCTACACCTGTCACTGTGCTGCTGGAACACTCACCCAGTGAGGGACAGTAAAGGATATTTCTATTCTTCTCTTTTTTAAGTTCTTTTTTTAATTGTAAAGGTTTAATAAATATTCAAGTGTTGATTTTCTCTGTTTCTGCGCTTTGGATGTTTTGGAATAACCTTCCTCTCCATATTAGACAGGCTACATCAGTGCAAGTCTTTATTAAAAAGCTATTTTTATTCCCCGCTTTTAATTCTGTGGGTAACTGATATTATTATTATTTTTTTTTTTATTATTCATTCATTCATTTATTTCTTTTTTTTTTTTTTATTGCTATGTCTGATTTTATTACTATGTGCATACAGTGTTGGGGAGTAACTGAATACATGTACCGCCGTTACGTATTTAAAATACAAAATATGAGTAACTGTATTCCGTTACAGTTACCGTTTAAAAAGGTGGTATTTAGAATACAGTTACTTTGTTGAAATAAATGGATTACACTGCGGTACTTTCCTGTTTCATATTGTGGCCTGTCAGGACTGTTTGGGTTTTGTTTGACAGCTACGTTCTGTTGTTCCAGGTGGCGGCGTTATGGTTGCCATGGTTACAGGGTGACGCTCTCTCTCTGCGTGTTTCCTGGGTGAGAGAGGCCTTTCTGTTGTTGTTGTGCTAAGCTAACAGGCAGAATGTTACAGGCATAGTTCTAAAGAATGTAGCATCATGGGCAGTGTAGTCCGTGCTGCAGGGAGAATGGACTGCCATACCCGTTATGTGTCTGTGAGCGCGAGGAGGGAGAAAAAGGAAAAGTAGAGCTGTCATCGAGCAGAAACGGGAGCTGGAAGCATGTAAATATAATAATAACTACTGCAGCCAAGAAGAGAGCCTGACGAGCCCAGTTGTAAGTAAGCTATTAAGACTCGACTGTACGCTGTGTTCGTGTTTTCCTCCAAAAACAACAAGTTCCATTGGAGCAGCCTTTCAACACCTCTCTCTGTCTCTCGCAAGCAAAGTTGACCCAGACAACAAAGTAAAGCTAGTTTGAGCCCGACACGGCCTTTTGTTGTGGGCAGTCTGAGGTACACCTGTGCACTACTCATGATGTCAGATCAGCATCCTGATGTGGCACACCTGTGAGGTGGGATGGATTATCTCAATATAGCAGATGTGCCCACTACCACACATTTGGACTGATTTGTGACCACTGTTTGGGAGGGATGGTTATATTGTGTATCCGGAATGAATTTTAGGTCTCTACGTCCATCCCATGGGGAATGGGAGCAGTAACAAAGGTGTTGCGTTTATATTTTTGTTGAGTGTAGTTCTTGTGGCGTAGTCTGTGTTTCTCTGTGAACCTCCCATGTAGTCTGCACTGTTCCATGTTTCTTCGTGTCTCTCTGCTCCTCGCTTCATGTCCTCCATTTTGCATTAGTTTTCACAGTTTAGGTTTATGTTCGGTTCTGCCCACACCTTGGTTTTGTGCACTGTAAATAAAACCCACTTGCACCTCCGCCATTGTCTGCTATTGGATCCTCCTTTCTCCTTTTTCCTCCACACGACTGCCGCCCCAGCCGTGACAGAATGAGAGAACTGACAGCTGTTATTTTAATCAGCCTGTCTCAGTTGTTTTAACTGTAAGTATCATAAAGTAATGTGGTAACATCTGGACTGACGAGTTTACTGTCAGCATTTTAATCGCTAGTTTAAAGGCTGTGGGCTGCAGCCGTTGCTCTAACACTATAAGTGCAACAGGCCTCAGTGCTGGTTCTAACAGTCTGAGCTGCTTCCAGCTTTATTTGTGAAGAGCACAGCAGCTTACAAAACACATAGCTAGCTCGTACAGCTGCGACGTAAAACTTTCATAAACTAAGATGACCTTAAAATAACGGGGCTACGTGCGGTGATCAACAGGTGGTCAGACTGCATAAACAGGCACACAGTCAAAGGTTGAGCTCTCTGTTTCGCTGCAGGGTCCCTTCATTCTTCACATTTCCGTGTCGAGCCGAGTGTAAATCCTGAGGCTGAACGGCCTTTGCACAAGCACACACACTTCTTAGCAGGGCGAAGCTATGAGAAGAAAAATCCAGGCTGGCAGCCTGTGTCTGTCCAACCCAGTGACTTTCTACAGTCATTCGTCCAACCAATCAGAGAGCTCCTTACATCCCACGGTGTGGCTAATTTGCATTGCAGCAGGATTTTTAAAATGCTAATCCAAATGTTAATCCCTGAGCAAACAGGAACGGGAAATGGATTTTGATATGAGGAGTGGAATCACCATTTTAAAAAGCATTTTGAAAATCAGTTTATTAAAGTGGAATTCAAAAATGAATTTACAAATGCAGAATTTATTCTACAATTCATTATTTAAGCACAGAATACTTTATTTCAATGCGCACGACTCTTGTGGTCCTCCATAAAGGAGTCCCTCTTGCAGCAGATATGTATATTAAAATCACCAGAAATATGAACACGGTTATAATTTTAAAAAAGAGAAGCTGGGAAATCTGCAAATCTGGAAATAAAAGACTTATTGTATTTGGGTGGCTGATAAATCACAGCACAGAGAGTCACAGGGGGCCAGTCAGGTCAAATAATTGAGCCTCGACGCAAGAGAAAGTAGGAGTAGGCGGTCGCTGAAGTTTAAGTTTATTTTTGAAAACTGTGGCTTGGCCTCCAACCTTCCCTGGAAGTCTCGGTGAGCTGGGAAAAAAAACAGTCAGGGGGAAGGAGTTCAGAGAAGGAGAAAAGTTCACCGGGGTGAATCCAAGGTTTGGTCAGGAGCAAAACATCCAGCTGCAGGGTGAGGAAAAGATCATTTAGGATGAAGGTTTTATTCGCCAGTGATCTTGAGTTAAACAATGCCATCCGGCTCTTAGCCACGTCATCCCTGACAGAGGCGCGTCTCAGCTTGCTTAGGAGTCTCAGAGGTTCCAATCCAGGTCCGAAGCGGCGAGTACACAACTGGAAAGGTCGGATAAAAATGAAGTCCAATAGGGCAGATCCAGCAATGGCTGAGCAGTTAAAGGATGGCCGGCCATGGGAGGTGAATGGAAATCACAGAGGAGTTAGCCACAGCATGTGCCTTAAATAAGGCTTTAAGGGAGACCCGAATAGTCTAAATAGTCTAAACAAAAAGTCTAAATAAAAAGTACGGAAAGAGATGAGGATTGGAGTGGGTAGAGGTGAGCTGCTGTTTCTTTTGATCACCAGTTTTCTCCTGTTTTGAGTTAGTTAGGGAGGTCAGACTGT